CGCTGGAGGGCGGCCGGATTTGCGAGTAGCAGGTTTGGAAACAGGAGTAGAGACCGCCGATGTATCTGGTGCAGACTGTGTGGGTGCATTTGGAGTGGGTTTTGTTGGAGAGGTGGTTTCAGGGGGTTCGGAGTCTGCGAGTCCAATTAGCAAGCAGTTACAATTCCGTAGAATAGAAGAGCTGAACATACCTTCGCCTTTGCGGCGGTCAGATCTGCCTTTACGTCGGCTAACGGGTTCAGGTACAGCCTCCTTTTCAGGTTCGGGTTCGGGGTCGGCCTCCTTTTCGCGTTGGTTCCTAGTGGCTCTGGTCTTCTTCTGGTTGCCGTTGACACTTGCAGTCTTTGACTTTGACTCTTCCTCAGAAGGGGAACGAGTGTTGCGCCGAGACGGCTTCGAGCGGGAAGAGGGAGAAGGTGAGCTCGTTCTCTGTCTCTTGGAAGCTTGCTTGTTTCTATCAACTTGTTAGTAGGCCATAACTGAAATCTAATATGAGAGAGACGTACATTTCGCTAACACTGCGGCTTCTTTTCCCCCTGCGACTGGTAGTCTCTTCAATCACGGATGCAGTGTCTTCTTTGCTCTCTTCGATGGCTCTGCGTAGCAACTCTTCCTCGTCATAGGCGGCGTCACGGCTATTCATGGTTCTACGCTTGGTGCGAGGGGAAGTATCATTGCTCTTGAGCTTCTTGTCCTTTGAACTTTTGGCCGAGTCTCTGGAGGTGGTCGAAGATGCTGAGGAGGTAGACCCGGCTACTGGGAGGTACTGGGACGTCTTTTGGCTGCGAGACCGTAAGCGCGATGTCCACATTTTGAGGGAGGTTGGGTATGAAGCTGGTGACTGAGGAGCAAAGGACGGTGGAAGGTGATGTTGTAAGGATAAAGAGGGAGCAGCAGGGCTCAATGCAGGGAGTGAAGCCATCCTATATGTGTATGATGTGTGTTGCGAGAACAATTGAAGGTGTGGTAGTGCCGGAGAGGTCAATGGAGATTGTGTGAATCGCAATAACACAGCAGCGGTGAATAGACAGAGATAACCAGCCACCACTAGTAAATAAAAAAAGTATTCGACGCAGAGGAACAAGGAAGCAAATACGATAACAAGCACCAAAGAAGAAGAAGAGGAACAAACTCACCCATGAGGTCCGACAATGATACTGTGCAGGTCCTTGCGGCATCTCTCGCAGAAATACTCGTCCGGGCTCGAGGCCTCTTCCATGATGCCGACACAGCCGCCATGCTGCCAGACCTTGCACTCATCGCACTGGATGAACAAGCTGCCGGCCTCTTCAGACTGAGCATCGGCACCAGATCCAGCACCCTGGCCGTCGTCGTCCTTGCCGGCCTTTGAGGAGGACGCAGCAGCAGCGCCGCCGCGGTGTGCAGCATGGGCAGGCAGGCCCGGGTAGTCCTGGTGGCCGCAGATACAGCGTGTGATCTCCTCCTCGCCCTCTTCGTCGAACTCGTCTCCGGTCAGCGTCACGTCGGCATCGGCCTCGGCCTCGACGTCCTCGCGGCCCCTGGACTGTCGCTGCTGGCGGGTGCTGGTGCCAGAGCCAGAGCCAGAACCAGAGGTGGCGGCGTCGTTCTTCGAGCTGGCCGTGTCCGCGCCGTCTTCCAGCGACTGGGAGCGCTGAGCAGCCGACCGGCGCGGCGGCGTAGGCTTGTTACCGTTATTATTCGACCGCGTGGTTCGCTCCGGCCGGCTGAGGGAGTTGAGCGAGCTGGAGGGAGCCGAATGCTGCATTGCGGCGGATGCTGGGTGCGCTGCGCGGGCTCGAGAGGAGCGACGAGGGTTCATGGCGGTGGGCGCATGCAAGAACCAGGTATTAATGGGTGCGTAGAGGGCCTGAGAGGTATGATGAAGGATATTATCTGGCCGGAGAGGACCAACAGCGCGTGTGAGGATGGATGCGAAGCTCCTGAGGGCGGGTGGGCAAAAATCTCGGTCCTTCTGGCTCACGAACCCGCGGCGTCCAAAGCGAGGGTTTTTTAAGAATTGGGGCCAGCTGAGAGCAAGCAGGGAGCAGAGAAGAAGGGCTCGCGTACGGGAAGATGCGAGATCGAGGACTGCTACATGCTAGAGAAGAGCTGGCGGGCTGGAGGCTGAAGACGTCGACGTTGGGAGGTGAAGAAGTCGAAGGCGAAAGACGAAGACGGAGTTGAGTTTATGGAGTTTTTGGAGAAGGAAGCGGCTTCGCTAGTAGATTAAGTCCCCGCCAGCGACCACGACAGACCGCGAGACAGCGACAAGATGAAGACACACTGGAAGAGAAGACGAGAAGACGAGAAGACGAGAAGAAGTTGATGAAGAGGATATAGAGGACGAGAAGACGAAGGAAAAATAAGATATACAGAGGAAGTGGTTGGTGTGATTTGGATGGCGGATGGAGGCTTCTTCCTACGATCAGCTTCAGCCGACTTGAAGGCCTTGATGAGACGTTGCGGCGAGAAGTCGATGAGTTGAAAGCTCTTCTCGATGATAATAAGAAGACTGGAAAGCTGACCGTGTGCTTGATTCAGCAGTTACTGTCCAGCGAGAGGCCGTCATCCCCCTGGCAGCGAGGGGACTACATGACAGACAGACAGCAGACAGACGACATCAGGGCCACCAGGATATGGAAAAGCTCAGCTCTAGAATGAAGAGGGCAACGAGAAGAAGGGCACTACTTCAACCTGCTCTCTCTGTTTAGGAGGAATGCTGCTCGTTGAGTGTCTGTCTGGGCATTATCCAAGGCCATTGAAGCTCTGATGATGAGTCCGTCGATAGCTTCAATTTACATCTCAGAAGACACGGATAACCACTTTCTGTCTGACAATGTCTCCAGGAGAATGGCTGGGCTCTACGACTTATAATAATGACGTCTGGAATCCTTGACAGGATCTATACGAGCCTGACCTGCTCCTACATGCCGATACCCATATCCTGACAATTGAGTATATTATATACTTGTTCTGGCCAGCATACCTGTACTCTGCCTGCCTCCCACTACCCTTTTACGGTGAGAGGACGCTGTTTCTTCTCGAATGCCGACTGAGTCAACAGCCGGACCTTCGACATCCAGCCCAAGCTTGTGACAGGCATCAATGAGACGGTATGATGCGCTTCTAGAGCTGATATCAAACCAGTTTCCCATATGACTCCCCTATTTTTCCGTTTCCCCGAGTGTAACTACAGCTTCATCCTCATTGCGTCCTTTAGCTGCTGCCAGGTTCTCCCTAGGGGAAGCGTCAGGGCCGTTAGGAGAGAGAGAATAGTGCCTTGTCTATTTAATAAAAAGAGAAGATAGAGTCAGCAGAATGCAGGAAGACAATAAAAAGAGAGGCGAGTTATCCGTGGCTTTGAGTAGACTTGGAGTTGGGGATATTGTGTATATAATATTCAACTATAAGCGGCCTCGTAGACAGACTGACCCCCCTAACAAGCAGCATCTCTGCCTTCTGCCTCTGCCATCTTCCCCGTCCTGCCGTCTTCTTTCTCTTGACTTCCTCTGGCTTCATCGTCTTCGTCTCTCCGTCGCTCTGTCTCTCTCTGCCTCTCTGTCTCTGTCTTCCTGCTATCAACCGCATCTCCCACTGGCTTCCCAAAGAGGCTAGCGTCGAGACATCCAAAAGCGAGCAAGAAGAAGAAGAAGACGAAGAATCTCAACTTCACCTTTTGACGAGACGCCGACGAGCCTGAAGAGCGACGATACTCGATACGCCGGAGACTCACGACCAGACGACTTGACTGCCTCTAGCTTCCTCCCGCCGCCCTTTGTCCCTTTTTCTCCCGGTGGTGTCTTCCGCCTGCCGAGCACCATCTCGCTTCTCCGTCGACCTCGTCCACTGTGCCAGCAACGGCAAAGCCCAGTTCACGGCAGTTCGCCTCTGTTCGATAGCAAGCTTGGTTTGGTAGGTCTGGACGGAGGGCAGCGTGGTCTTCTTGTTTGCTGCTCTGCTACTTTTTATTTAGTAGCCGTTTTGTGGTTGATGCTTGATGCTGACTGTCAAGGGCCGGAATAGTTGTCAATATTGGGCATCCACTCAACCACCAGATATCACGCCGCCGTTCACGGAAAACAAAGTCGATAGAGACGAGAAACGAAAGAGTGACCGACAGACAGTATCATAGGGCCGAGTGTCATCTGCTTTTACTCGCACTCTGCAGCCTGCAGGACTCACCATGGCTGCCACTCTGAGTACGTCCCTGGCGTTACCACGCAAAAAACTAGGGGGTGGACTTGACATATTTTTATATGTGCATAGATGGGTATGCTGGAACTACGCTGACGACTGATGAATACTCGACAGGCGGGGCGTATACCTCTGCTCCCGATACGCCATCCCCTATCTTCCCTGAGCGTCTCATCCGTCCGCTGCCAAAGCGGCCTCTGCGCTCCCGGCTCTCCTCAGACGCAGCAGACACTATTCTCTACCCGCCCTCACAGCCTACCACACAGCTCTTCTACGGTGCATACTCGACCACCGGAGACTCTCTCAACGACGCAAAGGTCTACGTACAGCGTAACGTCTACGGGTACGAGCATAATGCCGATGATGACGGAGACCATGACCATGACCACCACCATCATCACCACCACCACCACGATCACCATCACGATCACCACCATGATCATGATCATGACCACGACCACGACCATGACCACCATCATTACGAAGGCGGGGCAGAGTCTGGGGAAGATGAGGGCCCAGTGGCTGTCAGGAGAAGTGTAGGGTTTCAGCGAGCTTCCGCACCACCCACAGTTGATAGTGCAAAAGTGGCCTCGAACGGTGCCCAGGACGGTTACGATGCTTTTGAAAATACAAATAATAAGAAGAAAAGGAAAATACCTACGTCAGGTGGGTTAGGGTGCCACTCCAGTCTCTCTTCCGATATTGCCAGTCTTTCCTGTAGTGGGGGAAGTGGTGCTTCGATCTCGGTAGACGACGGTAGCGGACAGGGCTCCTATTATGGTTCCGGCAATCCTGTTTCCCCTGTTGGAACATCCGGCATGTCGGGTAAGGGGCGGTATGGCCGGAATGGCCCTGGTCGCGGTGCTACCGCCAGGCAGCCGCTTGCTGCCCATTCGCCTAATACGTGGTCAACGGGGAGGCGTCACGATAGTACCCTTGCTCAGGAAAACTTTGGTATTCACTTCACCCCTATTATCTATGGTTATTATTAGCATGTTTACTTGGGAAAAACAACATATTCTAACCTTTAGCAGAACCAGGCAAAGATCAAGGAATTATTTCTGCTGCAATAGCGAATGCAGCAGCGGCCCTGTCGTCCAGCCCTCAAGGCCAAAAAAATGTCAGCTTACTCGACCAGACAAAACGATCAGCCCCTGCAAAAACGCAATTCACCTTTACCTGCGAGTCAGACTCTCAC